CACTGTGAGTATTTCGGTCGTCAGCTCTCCCGATCTTCATATTACAGCCGTCGGCAATGCAATAAAAGAGAAACCTCGTCGGCTCCCCCCGGCTACCGTCTGTAACCGCCCACGAGGTTACGTACGTGCTGTGATCTCCCCATTCATACACGTTTAGCGTTGACAAAAAGGTTGCGAACTCGTCCGGTTGCGCATCGATGATGCTTATTTCTGACAATATAGTGTCATTCTGCTTAGGAAGTTGTGACAATAGGGCTCGGGCAATTCCCTCTGGAATGTGCCCTTCTCTAGTCGTTGATCCATCTGATGTCAGCTCTCCGGCTAAAGCTTCTAGTTTGGCTAGCTCTGAGTCGATAGGGTACTCATTGGCTTCGGCGTGATCGCCAGAAGATGACGATGATGCAATTACGCTGTCCTGAGGCATGACTTTTGGACGAACTGCAGCTGTGGGTAGAGGCATTGCTTCTTCTTATGGCTCGTCTCTCCACTGCTCCAAGTCTTCTTTATGCAATAAGTGTGCCGCATGTCGGCGGGATGTCTTGTCTTGGGGATCTCTATCTTGCTCTGCACACTTGTTATCGATTTTGTCTGCTGCTAAACGTCGCTTGGGTGGCGGTGCGGCAACTTCTAAAACATGTTTCGTGCCCTGTTGTACAGTCATCTCAACTCTCGACGTCCATATATCAAGTTCTAGGTCGCCAATATAATCTTGTGTGATACCGCTTTCTGCGGTCGCGAAACTATGACCTAATAGCAGTCGTGCTGATTCAGTCACTCCCACTCTGCCCAAGTCGGCAGGCAAGCGAGCTACTTCTTTAGCCGCTCCTCGCCGGATGTCGTGGGGGATAATGGGTTGCACAACGCCACCTACTATGCTGATCTCCCTGAGTATCCGAGCGTTGGACCGGGCTCGCAGAGGTTTCTTGACGTCGAGTGAAAGATATGGGCCAGGCTTAACAGCACAAAGTACAGGTCGGCCTGGGTGAGCCCAGATGAGCTTCTTCCTTTTACTGATGGCTTGCCTGAGCTCATGCCATGATGTCTGCTTTACGGCACCGGTACGTAAAGCATGGACGAGAGGGAGCTTGAGGGAGCAAAGGCAATTTAACGACGGTTCCAAAAATTCGACAACCGAATGTTCCAGTTGGTGCTGAGGATCTCTTCTGTGTAAATGCAAGTTCGCATCAGTATTGTAACCCAAGGTTTATTTATTGAGGGTACAGTTTGTCTGGCTTACTTGATGCATTCGGTGAACTCAAGAGTGAATGTTGCAACAAGGACTCGATGGCCATCTCTGGTGTCTTCGCGGATTACAATGTCCTTCCAGCAGAATGTTTCATGAAGCTCGCCATTGTCGGAGAGAAGTATGTCTCCACTCTTACAGCCACATATTGCTTGAAGGAGAATGACTTGGACTTTCATAATTGTATAGTCCCAGGAAGGCGAACCATTCTTGATTGCATCCTGAAGGAAGCACCTGATCAATTCATGGACGACGTCGGTGGTCACCCATTGCTTCTTCCTTCTCGGCTCTTTAGTAATGACACCCTCGTCGAGAAGACCTCGGACTGTGCTCACTCTAAAGTACATGCTGTTAGCGCGTAGAACACAGTGGCTAGACCCTGGACGGTCCATGTCGATGGATATGTCAGTAGAACTTACTAATGTGTAATAGATCATGCCTCGTTAGACGAAAGTCTTTGAACTGGAACTCAGCCCATTTCCGCATATACTCAAGACTCCGCATTAAGGTACTGTAGGTAACCTTGTCTTTGCCAGTGGGCCTCATCGTCTTGACAATAACTGGCAGGAAAAGCTGGATATCTTCACCAGTTGGGACAGAATCTTTACTGTAGGGACAAAAGAATGATGAGCACAGGGATAACGGACAATAGGAAGAAGGCAGGGCAGAGTAAACGGCTGGATTACCTCTTCTGTAAGACATGCGTCTGGAAAGCTCGAAATCTATTAACCCATAATGACAGCAAATAATCAGTGCTTGAGAGCCCCGTGTTCAGAGTTGCACGCTCCCGTTGCTGTTTCACTTTCTCAATCTCCTCGGCTGGGATCTGAAGGAGCTTCTCAATGCTGGCTGCACCTGCATGAGCGTATTTTTTGCTAATTCCATAGTTATCTGAGTCTTCATCACTCGATGAGTCGCAGTCTAGCTGTGCTGGCATTGTAGCTGATCGCGACGAACGGTGACTAGCTTCGACGATCCAAATGGGACGAAGGAGGTAGATGGAGGACTAACAGTAGATGAACAGTGACCAGCCTGGACAGTCTCGGATAATTGGCAGTAAGATCGATAGAAGGATTGGTAGATCATACGGAATGGAATTCGTTCAAAGACGAATAGAAAATGAAGAGCAAGGTGGGCGGGAAGTTCAACGGGATCTGGGTTGTGGGTGGCACCTTACGTCGAAAACAATTGTTCACGCCCCTGCCTGCTCGGTTCATTAAGTCGAGTGCCTGCTTATTATATTCTGATCTCTTACAAACCGTGCCTTCCTATCCGTGCTTTCTGGTCATCCCCCTTCCCCAAGACAAGGAAGCTGTCCAACCATTGTATTATACTCGCCCACCTCTCTGACTTCTATGACACGATTGATCGCGGCAGCCGCATCCAGCCACCGAGACAATTGTCAAAAGGAGTGGAGACGAGTACTTGCGCAGCAGAATTCATGGTGTATTTCAGGATAATTAGAAGGGAAGAATCTACCCGTTGGAGACGGGGGAAGAGGGAGATACATATAGGTATGAGAGTGGAGTGCATCCGGCTCCCTTCCTTCAACAACAATGATGTATGTAATGATGCAGGGCCATGAATGATAGCACTTCTTCCTTATTCGAAGAACGAGTCGTCTGAATCCAAACCAAAGACACGGAGATACTCAATTCGACCCTTCCGTTCTCTATTGCAAGTGAGTCCCATCGACTTGTGTATGAGTGTCTGTAGGCATCTGCGCTGTTGGAGCCACTTGACTAACTACTTAAGTACTCAGTAGGTATGGTAAAGGGATGGCGGAGTGGAAATCCATGCAAGCCGAGAAGTGTGTTGACGCTAGCATACACCTGGTGAATGTGCTCCCAATCCTTCTCAATGCGGTCGAAGACTTCCTCAAAGTAACGATTAAGCCTCGATGTGATTCCGGTCTTCATAGCTTCAATGGGATCCAGAATCTGACGAGCATCTACCTCAGCGACCCGTTCTCGATTGCCGAGGGCGTCACGCAACCAGGTGACGGCGGCGGTGATACCTTCGTGGCATCTGGTGAGGTGGCGGACTAGTTCATCTAGACTGCCAAGCCCTGCGTTAAAGAAATAGACGAGCAACTAATGGTCGCCATTATACTAAGCAAGCTGATTTTTGACATCACAGATATCCGCCGCCATCCGGCCGAGATCGCCAGGATTACGAGATTAGCGAAGCTGAAGCTAATTAATCTCAGCCTGGAGACTGGCAATCTCTCGCACGAGTCGCACGTTTAGGTCACTAGTCACCTTGCTTTGTTGTCCGAGATTGTCAACATGTTTGCCCATCTCCAGAATGGCTGAGATGTTGTGGCAAGCAAGCTGGTTGAGCCCATCCAAGCTTTGGGTAGTGCCCTGCAGCTGATCGCCCATAGTCTGCACTGGAGACACAGTGTTCGGCATTAGGCAGACCTGCACCGGAATTTCGCTGTCCGCATTTTGGGAACGTTCTTCGTGGTAGATCTAAGGATGCGTTGAGGGGCAGGTTGTTAATGGAAAGTTGCAGAAGGTACAAAAGGTTGGGATCTCGTGAAGATCCTTGATTATGATGTCGAGGAGGGTAGGTTGACGGCTCAAAAATTGCATGTACAAATTATCAGGCATTGCCAATTGGCGGGTAGCAAACATTCCCTTTGGACCTGCTTTTCTGTGTTTATATTCGTCCCTCGTCCTTTTGAACTACATGTTTACAGTAAGGTATTAAATGAAACATTGATTTCTCTTTTATCGGGCAAATCCCCCTGCGCCCAAACCGGCATACAGGGCGACTCATTAAGTCGTAAGAACGCCCAGAGAATCGTGGAGGTGACGGACTAGAAACCTATGTCAGACGGGAGGAGCTGGACCGGCAAGACAGACTGAAGTTGGCGTCCGCTGGTGATACTCTCGGACGAGCCGTAGCACGTCTTCTTCCAGAATCTAGGCTGAGACCCAGGCAATGTTCCTATGCTTCGCAGTGTCTTGCCTACTTTCCGACTCGTCAGGCAGCAGCTAGGCAGGAACCAGTCGATTCTTAGGTTGGATTCTGCCGAGAAGACTATGTTTCCAGTTGTCCCGAATAAGCCTTCTCTGCTGTTGACAGCAATTGTGACTGATAGCTGTACGAATGGCGACGAGTAAACCAGTACCAGGGTACTGCACCCTGAGGGTGTTCTATACTCGGAAAGCTGGAGAAAAGCCAGGAGGCCAAGAACACCTGAAAAATATTAGAGTAAATGAACAAGATAAAGCAAAATAATAGATAAAATAGCCGAGAGCTATAGACCAAGAGCCCTAGCTAAGCAAGGAGCTAATAAAAATTGCACGTGTATAATATACCAAAAAAAACTAAGCACACGAGCTACTCATATAGTAACAATAAGAGAATGGGTTTAAATACTGCTAAGAAAAAAAGCTTGAGAAAAATTCGTAGTAGAGGGAGATAATATTTAAACTAGAGGATATCCAAGATATCGTGTTTAAAAGGCAGACTTAAGGCCTTTAAGGCTATCTAAGCTGCGCAGAAACGGCCTCGTCTCGAAAAAGCTGTAAGCTATAACAGCATTTTTTTAAGTGTCACAAATGGCTAGCCCGTTGACCACTCTACCAATAACCAAAAGGTCAGCAATATCCCACTTCCCGGGCTTCCGTACAGCCTTTCTCTCTATGGCCATGCCAGCATATATGACATTAACTTCAAAAACAAAGAGCTAGCAGACTATACGTATTATAACGGCAGTTATAGACCATACTCTCCAACTAATAGCGCCCGGTTAGCTCAATCGGTAGAGCGTGAGACTCTTAATCTCAAGGTTGCGGGTAAGCTAAGAATTTACACTTGAATAATCAAATCACGTGCTAATCACGTGATTTCCAGGTTCGAGACCCACATCGGGCTCTATTCTTAATGTCTGTCATGAACTGAGAGTTTCAACCATCTTTTTCTGATTTTTCCTAATTTTTTTACGAATTGTTTAGCCCGTGAACGCAAGCTTCGAAGGGCCGGAAGGAGTGCGGCGCCAATAGGGCTGAGACTTGTTCCACTTGATGCACGTGCCACCACCTGTGGGCAGCTGTTCACTTGGAACAGCGAGCTTTTAATAATAGCTGCATTCTTCTTGAGTATCTTCTTATTTTCTTGCCACTCGGGCATTTTACTTGGTGCCCTTATAATTGAGAAGGAGAGGAAGATTGTCGAGCCTTTTCCGAAGGTTGTCTTCTCCTTATCTGTGGACAGATATCGACATGTATGAAAGTTGAATCATGATCCAGTTAGTGGCTTCTCACGGTCTCTCGCGCTATAGCCAAGCGGCAAGCCATCTTGAATTCCAGAACTGGGTGGCGATAGTCGGGGAAAAGCAACTGCAAAATTCAACCTTGTCTCAGGTCAACTTACGCAAACTACTGCTGCGCGGGTAGGTTGTGTCTAAGATAGGAATGATAGAGCGCAATATGAGTCATTCACTGTTTCGGGGTGCTTAAATCAGACATGCCACTATTGTTAATTGTGTCATCCTCCCTTCCATGTTTCACGCTGGAAGACAGCATCCTGGCATGCAAATGACGAAAGGAGAGAATGCGGCGACTCCCGTAGCTAACGGATTATTGTAGTGATATGTTCCCGCTGTCGATGGGTTGATTAACGAGGCGATGCCACCATCTGATCACACACGTAAGAACATCTCGACGCATCAGGGGACTCCTTATCGAAGACGTAGTAGTATTAATATTGAATATCTTTCCGGGTGTGTGGATTTTGTAAATGAACACCTCTACCTAACGAACAGTTACATCGACTCAATAGTACTACATTAATCACGAGTGCAGATCTATGAACAGTTTTCTAATTGTAGTCAGTTTATAGTCACAATAGAACAAATACTTCAGCTGCTTACCTAAGCATCTTACCTGGCTCATTCCTGACAAGCTTCTCATATTACACATTTGCAGATAATAGTCTTTTTATCTATTTATCTATGTATTATTGCCGATGGCCAGCTGTGACTTACAAGTACATACTTGTGTGATTTTATCATACAAGACAAAACTACGACTTCCTGAAACAATGTTTAAACCGCTGTATAAAATGAAACAATCATATTACTCATTATTTCTGTCGAGTCTAGTTAAGGATGGGTTGGTTGAAGAATCTCGTGTGTTGTGTGTACATTTAAGCGATACTTATAGACAGCGCTTCTATTTCAAATCTCGTGAGTAATTCATAGTGTAAATAAGTAATGGATTCAAGTCTTCTCAGCTAGAAAAAATCCCATAACCCCGCAATATTTTTCAACCATGTCTGTCTGTGTTGGGCCACTAGCTATATCTCTGGTTATGCAATGATTTTGGTATCAGTACCAGTAGAATCAAGGAGGCGAAATGTCCATCAACAGAGGATTGGCGGACGAAGATGGTCTCGGCCCTACGAACTATGACCACGACTGCAACATGAATGTTACTCAACAGCTTTAAAATTCCTACCTAACAGATATGGTTAAGTATTGTTCTACGAGTATCTGATCATGAGTCGATGGCGTCACTTCGGTTTGCTAGTGTGCCTTGAGCTCTGCCTCGTACAATGAATCGAACTGTTCAAATTCACGCGCGTGAATATTTATATATATTGGGGGCTATCCCGCCTAGGATCTGCGTTTTAGAAGTCTTTCATGCCTGGCTGTACTGGACCAGACTCAAGCAGAAATTGGCCGCCGAGGTCGCAGCCCAGCCGGCCGGCTAAGATGATCACATAGTTTGTATTTGAAATATTATTCGCTGGATACTGGGCCTTGACCACGAAGACCTATCCTACTCTTCGGTGAGAGTCCGAGTCATGATGAGTTGGCAGTCATGGTGCATTGAAAAGGCCAGAGCTGGGAAATGAGGGTGCCGCTTTGATGCTCCTTTATATTCAATGGTGACATCTGATTGGACGAGACCGAATGCCCGATGGGGGTGTTGGTGATGGCTTGCTCTTCAAGTTCAGAACCAAATTGGGCCAGACATACCATTAGAGAGGTCATGAAAGGTTGGGCCTGGTGGTTGTCTCGTAAGATCTATTCGTGATGAGCAGATCAACCCTTCATGGGCGTGTTTCTACAGTCACTAGGACCTATATCGCCCCCAAACGGCAGCGTTGACCCTCTTAAACATTAACAGCATGGAGATGTATCCTTCTATTATTTCTCTTCAGCGTCGGGATGGCTTCTGCTTCGATATCACCGGGGAGTGGTAGAAAATAACTCCCTACTCTAAGTAGTGAGACGAGTGCCGAAAGGTGGCTCCGTGTCGCTGCTCCTGGTCCATATTATCGAAATCACATGACGGTCGCGGATGACACGGGTTCGTGGTTCCGGACCGGTACAAGCTGTGGTGAGTACCCACCGAAAGTGCCCGTACTGGATCAGATACTACTATGTACCAAGGTATAGTAGGTAGGTAGTTATTCCAGCGCAATGTGAATAACTTGATGCTGTGACACACCATACTACTAACACGAGTACAATAATGAATAATGGCGAAGGAAATGGGGTTATTAGCAAGCAAGCAGCTACATAGAGTAGTGAAATGTACTGTAGTACTGATAGATGACGCTAGATGATCGAGATTGTGCGTAAATGGGGTGCTCGAATAGGAAAAGTCGACGATGCTAATTCAATGGGAGTATCGGTAGTGTAGCACATCACGGGTATACTCTAGTACATATTGGGATAGTAGCCGGGGCAGGAGCAAAGTGCATGCAGAGGGCGTGCCAGCGGGTGATCTATGACGTCCTGATTGGCCGGACGCGTCGCGTGCCCACTGAATGGAAAAACAACACGACGCGTCCAAGTCAATGGGCGCCCCTCCCTAAATGGCCCCTGTTCCACCAATCCGGAATCACTCTACGCGCCGCCCGCCCTCGTCCAATCGCTTGCTTCCACCTCATTAACCCCAGACGTTTTTCGCTCTCTCGTATGAGCTGATCCTTTGGGTCGCACATTGCATCACACCACGAGCCGTTACTACGCCAGACTCCTGCGAAGATAACACCGTTGCTGGGATGAGCTAACAAGAAGCAGCGTGCACACACCAAGAAGGGATAGGAACCGACCCTGGAGAGGATACGATATACTCAGCCAGCCAACAAACAAAGTGTTAGGAATTAAAAAAAAAAAAGGGTCGAAGAGAGGGAAGAGGCGAAAAAGTCATCGATTGAAAACCTCGAGCGACCGCTGTTTCTAACTGTCCTGGATGGGCGCCATCTACATTTGCCTGCGCATACTTCACTCACATCTTCTCGTCTCGGCTCAAACAGCGTCGGCCTTCCCGCGCCTACTGAATCAATCGGCTTACACTAGTTCTGTCGAATCGCTTGTTAGCCCTTAAGCATACGCTCTGCCTCTTCGTTCGTCTCGCTTGGGCTTCCGAGGTCCCATACATCTCCGCGCCTCACGGACACGCTCACCTGCCTGCCTCCTAAGTGAAATGAATGGGACGCATCACCGACCGAGACTTGCGTTGAACCACCCTGATCATCTCACCTAGAAAGATACAAGGAATCCAGTACTCAGAGGTGCATTTCGGCAACGATTAATTAACGAGCTGGGGCCCTCAACGGTCACAAGTAACCCAGCGTCACCACCCAACCAGACCGTTCTCTGCCGACTTTAATCGGCTCCACTGTGTGCACCGGGATCTTGTCCACTGCTGTCCGGGTATCCACAGGCGCTACAGTGGTGTATTCCTTGCTTACCATCATCGTGTCAGCCCAGAGCCGCTCTGGACCAATCCCCTCCCATTCTGGGCTTCTTCTGCCGTGGACCCGACTCCACCCCGTTCCACTTGTTGCTGCGCCCCGCTGAAGTTCCACTGCTGAGTTGGCGCACTAAGCCCTGCTTGGTCTTCCATTTCACACTCTCAGCTTGTTCAATTCCATTCTTCCTGCCTGTCGGGGCTTTCAATAGAATACCTCCTTGCGAGACAGGGCATACCCACCCGTCTCTCATCTGCAACTGCCCATCCTACCTAAACTTGCTTTTCAGCGGGTTGGCCTACACTATCTCTCTCCCTACCTTAGCCTATCTATCTATCTATCTGTACGTACTGCGACTCCCCTCTCTCTGCCTAGATTCTTTACACTACCTGGGCTCTCTCTCCTGCATTTGCCTTTGCATACCCGGCTGTCACTCACTTCCTCCCCCAGATCTTGACGATCTAGTTCCCCCTCCCCTTCGTCCTTCATCTTCTCCCATCCTAATTTGCCTGCTACCCATTATCGCCATTACTACCTACACGTGTTACAACTGCCAGCAAGCCAACCTTCCCAACCATTTCGCAATATACACTACTCATATGAGCTTTTTGGGACTTCGGAACACGAACTCACTCAGAATCCTTTTTAGCGATACCCACAGCGCACGACAGTCACCCTAGCTTCACGTCTCCACTGCTCATCTAAGCACCATTTCTGGCTCAGGTGAGTCTTGCGCCTTTTTGTTAAGATTACATGTCGTCATGGAATATTAGAGACGGCTTCACACTTCTGCCACAAATTGCTTTCTATGTTACCTACTCCCGTCTCGCTGACATGCATTCAAGCGTACTGTAAGCGGCGCCGACGAATTACCTTCATACTTATCCATCGCTCCTGGCCAACATGGCCAGACCGACGCGTTTTGCGGCGTCCAGTGAGCCGCTTCACATATTTCAAGACGAGTTCCAGGACGAAAACTACGGACAACCAGCGCAGTCAATAAGCCGAGCTCCAATGCCAACAGTAGGAAGACAGTCATCCCCACGACGACCTTTAGCAAATTCGAGCGGCAACTTAGTCTTTAATCCCCCGAATGGCCGTAGGAAGCATCATTCGCCTTACAAGGCCTTCGGTCAACCTTCCACTACTCCATTGGGAGCATCGCA